TTCTAAATCCCCCCCTAAGACCTGCTGCTGCCTCAGCACCTACAAATCCTGCCCATCCGTCAGCAAGGAGGCTGGGCTAAGCACAGACTTTTAACTCTGTGACAAAGTCTGTTTGTTTCCTTGCTGCCCTGCTGCCCACGTTGGTCTGCTTTTGATATCCACTGTCTTCCAGCTGAGACATGGACTGGAAAAGTCCTACACCTGTCACCTCTGTAAAATATCTGGTACTGAGAATAACAGGATTTGGTTCTGGACTGGTGTATTCCAGCAAAAACACAACACAAGCAGTGCCAATAATCATAGAACAAGGTAGTGTCACAGAGTTGACCTTTAAGGTCCCTTCCAACTCAAATCATTCCATGATTCTATGACAATACTGGAGTAGTGATGATACCAAGATGAACAACAGCATGTGTGTGCATTTGAGTGTCACCACTAGGCAACAACTGACTTTTAAAGGCTTTTACAGTTACAGAGTCAACTACGATAAGAAACAGCATCGATAAATTTGGGTGCAAATTCAAAATTTTGTATTAGTTTTCATTTTGTTCATCAATCCTCAGGCAGACCTTTTGTGTATGATGCTGTATTAATGTTCTCTCAAGGCACAAACCTTAGCAAAGCTGGCAGGCTGTGTTTTTGAAGGGGGCAGCTCCTCACTTCCCAAACAAGCAAGGGCAGAGTTGATCCATGACTCACGGACAAGACAAGGACCTTTCCTGTACCTAGCTGCTGAAGGGTAAGAACCAGATATAGGTTCTCTCAACTGTACAAAATATTGTTGCACTCCCAGCTTTGGTGGTGAAAAAAATCATATGGACATTAAATCAGCTACTCAATTTGTGAGTCGGGTGCATCATTAACCTTTACAGCAGTTTGACAGTGCTATAGGTGTGATGAGCAAGGGCTGACAAAGGCTTTAGTTCCACTGTGAAATGTAGCAATGAGATTTATTTATAGCACCCGACTGAGCCACAGAACCTAAATTTTTTCACATGCACAGGTTTTCTCAGTTAATGGAGTTAACTCACGGTAGAGGTTGGTAAGAAAGTTGCTGCCAACGAAACACATTTCTTCACTTTCAGCTTGGGATGGTTTAGGCCGATTTCCAGCCTTTCCTGTGTCTCAAAAACACTCTTACTGAATATGTCTGGGTATGTAAAATATCTAAAGAAGGAAATCACTAAAACTAGTTCAGAAAATAAACTCAGAAGATGGTGGCAGCAAGGGTTGAAGTCATGACAAGTCTTCCTCTGGCCTGGTATTTGTTCACCAGGAATAAACCAGTGTAATCCTGAAAACTCACAAGGAACAAGCCCAATTCTCTGCAGGGGACAGTGAGACCCAGTGAGATGTGCTCTGTCTGACAATATTGAATGATAAACTGAGAATAAAAAATACCAAGGTCTCCACAATACTTCACCAGGCTGAAGTTCAATCCTTTGGCATCTGTAAGGTGGTTTAAAAATCTCCTTTATGGTGATTGACTGCACCCTGCAGATGACACCACAGGAATTTACTGCACTGAAACGTAACACCTTAATGAAGGGGGGGGGGAAAAAAACCCTTTCCTTTTAATGCAAGCAACTTTGTCTGGTTTCCCCTTCAACCATGTAACATGATTCAGAGATAAGACTCTGTGGTTGTTAAGTTGCCATGATGGATTTTACGAAGGGGAAAATCATGTCAAGTTTATGTAAGCTTGATAGCAGCTGCTCTTTGGAAATACATCTTAATTATGGGTAAAAATACTAAGCCATAACTTGTACAGTTATTGTAAAAACCTCATTATTTATTTTTTTTTTTGGTGACATAATTCTAAGCATTAGCTCTTCACTGAGGTTAGCATTTATTTATAGGTTGGATACTGCAAGGAGGTAGCCCAGGAAATGCTACTTGATGATGGTGGTTATTAGACAAGCCTGTTAGTGACCCCCCCTATTTATCTGTATTTAATTATAGAATTACTGCCATAATGCCCTAAGTTGTATCTGAGAACAAGAGTCAGCTTTATTTGTGAGACCATTACATGCCACCACTCACAACTTCTTAAAAAATGGTAATGGCCTTTGGGATGAAATCTTTCAGCCCAGTATTGACTTTCTCTGCACGTATGGAGTTTGGCAAAATTCAGCCTTTTTTTTTTTATTACTTACGGATGGAAAAAGATGACTTGAATGATAAAAAACTGAAATTTTGGTCAAATTCTGGGAGGCCGTGGGCACCTAGAAATGGCTCCACTAAAAACATTAAAAGGACAGTTATTAGGAGTTTTCCAGTTATACCAAATTTAAAAACCTAGATGAGAAATAAAGAAGTTAGGTTGGAAGTTTTCAGCTTGCAAGTGCCAGTACACTCAGGTATCCCCACTAGCTGCTGACATATGTGAAGTTAATCTGATGGATATGTTTGATTTTTGTTCTCTGTTCTCTCTCTCTTATTTCACAGTAGTTAATTTTGCGGGTAAATTAGTAACAAAATATGCTACAGCTCTGATGATGGGGTGCTTTCTCTTGGCTCTGGTTCCAGTTTTTAAATTGTGATGTTATTTAATAGTGATGATTATTAAGATGCATAATATTATGCCACTGACTATAACAAAGTGAGTATTTTTGAAGAGAAAGATGAAGATAAGGAGCAGCTGAAGTGTGGTTTTGTCCAGGCAGTGTCTGAGCATCTATTGATTATATGCTCCCAACATTTAATTAATTGCTGAAGTATCAGATCATCTCATGTTTGCTGGTGAGTAGGTCTTAACATGGAGATGTAATATTGATAAATGGTGAATAATTTGCCCAGATCAGAAATCTGTGGCAGAGCAAACAGTGGAGGTTGGGGTCTCTCCAGTCCACCACACTAAGCACAAAGTTATGATTTCTGTCGCAGTGAATGGGTCTAATAACCATCAAAGCATAGTGATTATGCAAATCATTGTACCCTGATTGAGCAATAAAAGCTATCAACCATCCGGAGTTAAGGGGTTTGTGTATTGTATGATTACTGAGAAATAAAATCAGAGTGATTATGCAAATCACCCCCTTCAGCCAATAGGACTGAGGGATGCAATGGGAAAAAAATGCCTATTTGTGCCTCAATAACAATATCCCTCAATACAGTATCCCTGAGCTCCAGTTGCTATTATTTTTGTTATTTGACTGCAGAACCGCCCAGAAGCCCTGATCAATCCAACATAAAAGATAATTGTTTTCTTCTGGATTTTGCATCATTTACATGTTGGACAGAAGACATTTGGGATCTGGGCTGAGTTCCTGCTAGAACCCTTAGTCGGGGATATAACGAAAATCAATATATATTGAGGAAACACGGGGGGGGTGGGAGGTGGAAGGGGAAATGCTGTCCGTAAGATTAAATAAAAATATAAACCCGCGTATTTTTGCATATGTTTTTGATTAATTCCACAGATACCAGCTTACTAACGAGGGGTGGCCACGGGGGCTGCCCCGCGCCGGGCGATGTCTCCCTGCCGGCTCCCACCGCCGGGAGACGCCACGTTACTGCGTTACTGGAGGAGGAGGAGGAGAAAGAGGAGGAAAGAGAGAAGGAGAAGGAGGAGGAGGATGCGCCTTCCTCCCGCACCCACCGAGACCGAGGGCACTCGGTACGCGGAGAGCGAGCTTCCCGCCAGTCACCCGCCTGTGCCGGGATCCAGGGGCTTCGAGGGACCCAGGGGGTCCGAGAGATCCACGGATCCGAGGGATTCAGGGGGCTCCGAGTGTTCCACGAGGCTCCAAGGGATCCACAGACCGAAGGATCCACGCGGCTCCGAGGGGTCCACAGATCCGATGGACACCAAGGGCTCCAAAGGGATCCATGGGGCTCCGAGAGACCCACAGACTCGAGGGCCCAACGAGGCTCCAAGGGATCCATGGATCTGAGGGATCCATGGACCCGAAGGACCCGGAGACCTGAGTGACCCATGGACATGAGGGATCCACGAGGCTCCGAGGAATCCAGGGGGCTCCACGGGATTTACAGACCCAAGGGATTCAGGGGGTTCTGAGGGACCCACGGGGTTCCGAAGGATCCACAGACCCAAGGGATCCACGGACACAAGGGACTCATGGACATGAGGGACCCACGGGGCACCAAGGAATCCACAGATCCGAGTGATCCACAGACATGAGGAATCCACAGGTCTGAGGGATCCAAAGGCCTGAGGAATTCACAGGCCCGAGGAATTCACAGATCTGAGGGGTCCACAGGGCTCCGAGGGACCCACAGGCCTGAAGGATCCATGAGGCTCCAAGGGATCCATGGATCTGAGAAATCCACAGACCCAAGGGATCCACAGATCCAAGGGATCCAGGAGGCTCCAAGGGATTTACAGACCCAAAGGATTCAGAGGGTTCCGAGGGACCCACGGGACTCTGAGGGATCCATGGATCTGAGGGACCCATGGAGCTCCGAGGGATCCACAGGGCTCCAAGAGACCCACAGACCCGAGGACCCACGAGGCTCCAAGGGATCCATGGATCCGAGGAATCCACGGACCCGAGGGATCCATGAATCCGAGGGATCCGCAGGGCTCCGAAGGACCCAGAGAGCTCCGAGGGATCCACACGGCTTCGAGAGACCCACAGACCCGAGGGACCCACGAGGCTCCAAGGGATCCACGGATCTGAGGAATAAACGGACACGCGGGATCCACGGGGCTTAGGGGGAGATCCAGGGAGCTCTAAGGGGATTTACAGACCCGACAGATTCAGGGGGCTCCGAGGAATCCACGGATCCAAGGGACCGGGACGCTCCCAAGAATCCCCGGGCGGTCCCAGCGCCTGGACGCGGCTGCCGTGAGGGGGAAGCCCCGCCCCCCCCGCCCTCGTGGGGCGAGCCCCGCGCGCTGCCCGAGGCCACGCCCCTACGCCACACAGTGTAGCAAGGCCCCGCCCCCTCCGCTCGCGGATGCCCGGAGCGACGGCCCCGCCCACGAAACCCCGCCCCGCAAAGCTCCGCCCCTCCCTAAGCCCCGCCCCCCGCCACGTCCCGCTCGGGCTTCGCTCCCGATCCCGATCCCGATCCTAATCCCGGTCCCGGCCCGGCCCCGCCGGGCCATGGCGTTCACGCTGTACTCACTGCTGCAGGCCTCGCTGCTCATCGTGAACGCCGTGGCCGTGCTGCACGAGGAGCGCTTCCTGCGGCACGGTGAGCCGGGAGGGCCGCGCGGCCCGGGGGAGGGATCTGGGAATTCGTCTGGGATGTGGGGATGGGTTCCCGGCCGCTCCCGTCGTAGCTTTGTCTCTCTCTCTCTCTCTCTCTCTCTCTCTTTCTCTCTTTTTTATTTTTTTTATTTTTTTTCCCTGTAATTGTGTGTTTTCCCTGCCCTTTCCCGCTGTTCCACGCCCGTCGGGATGTTTGGTGCCGTGCAGAGGTTTTCCTTCCTCTCGCCGCGCCTGGTTTTTTGATGAGATGGCGCTTCTCGGCCCTCGGGGTCCTCAGGGTTGGGCATCCTTGTCCTTCAACGGGAACCAAAGCTCTGCAAAACAGAGAAAATCCATCACAGATCTGCAAAGCCATGGAAAAAAATACTGATAATCCAGTTCCCTGATCTGGAGAATCCTGACTTTTCTCCACGTCTTTTCTCCACGTCAAGGCTGAGCTGGGATTTTTGGCAGGAGTGCAAAGGGTTATCTCCCGTTCCCCAGTTGGAATCGCTACAAGGGATCTGCTCGGTGTGGGTTTGGGGTTTCCTTTTGCTTTCCTGATGAGCGGCAGCTGCGGGAAAAGGAGGATGTGGGGGCTAACGGGATGGGTGAAGCCACTTGTCGGCCTCAGGAGACTTGGGAATAGCTCCAAGCTCATCCAAGTGGGAAACAGCACCTGGCGAGGCAGGTGAGGAAGAGGACGAGCCACCCTCATCCTGGTGCCAGCTGAGCGAGGGAGACAAAAGGGGGGGGAGGAATCCCGCAAAAGTCGTCCCTGGAGAACAGGAACTCGCAGGTTGGGCATTGGAACTGGAATACAGAGAGCTGCTCCATGCTCCACTCGTCCCCTGAATGGTAAGGGCTGTGCCTGGCAGGTCTCAGAAATCCCTGGACACATCCCTGAACCCGTAGCTGTGCCTCCCTGCAGAGGGTCAGGACTCCCTTGGAGGGCTTTGAAAACCTTCAGGACTTCGGTCCTGCTCGGAAAAGTTCCCAATTTTCTCCCAAAAGTTCTCTTTTTTTTTTTTTTATAGCAGTTACAAAGTCATCATCCTGACTTTTGAAGTTGTGCTGGCTGTTTTTCCTTTCTCAGCGCTGAGGCTTCATCACTTCACCCTCATATGCAATGATTTGCTGTTTTATTTTCAGGCCTGTGAACAGACTGTGGTTGGTTTGGGTTAATTTTGGCAGGTGTCTTTTTGAAGCCCAAATGAATTCTGGTGTTTCTCTGGGCACTTGGGGAATAGTAGTGTGTTAAAAAGTTGAGGGTTTCCTTTACAGGAGCATGGATCTATCATTGCTTAACATCAGGTTTAACAGTTTCCAGTCTATTCTATGAAAATCTGATCATGGAATAAAGCTAATAGGTGGTTTGCCTTTCAGTGTTAGTGTAAACCATGTTCAGGATGGATTGTTCATTAAAATTACAGCATTGGTTTCATGGTTTTGGGCTTTTTTTCCTAAAGTGTTTATCTGTTTTTACGTGACACAGTTGGCTGGGGAACTGACCAAGGGATTGGAGGATTTGGAGAGGAACCAGGAATTAAAGCACAGCTAATGAACCTTATTCGATCAATACGAACTGTCATGAGAGGTAAGGAGACATCATTATTATTATTATTGTTGTTGTTGTTATTGTTATATTGTGTTTGTTTATTTGTTGTTACCATTCTGAGTTTTGTCTTTCCTTGGAGTTTGGGAGCTGGGGGGAATCTCAGTGGTCAATCAAAGTGTGCAATTAGTTTCACCTTGTCTAAGTTCAGTTTTATGGCAAGTACCTGGTGAGGGAAATGTGATTTCAGGGATCCTGAGGTAAACCAGGCTTTTGTGCCTCAGAAGATGGGGGGAAAATATGCTTTATTTGTAAGTTACTGATAGCTTTTTATTATAAAACACGGCAAAAGTTCCTTTTTTATGTGATGATAGAGAAGAAGTAACAAATCTTACCTCTCAGGCCCACCACTGAGGGAAAAACATTTATTCTAAGTCACAGTAAAGCCAAGGACAGCAACTGACTTTGAGATGGTTTAATTTCATTTGGAGAAAGAGATATCTGGGTTAAAGTTAAAACAGAACTCAAGTCTCTGGATTAAAGTTAAAACAGGCCATAGAAAAGTATTTCTGCTGTTGCTTCCTACTAATTTTTAGTATCTTAGGCTTTGAGCCTGGCTCCTTCCACTAGTCCCAATTTTGCGTAGGAAAGTTTAAGTGTATTTTTTAGTTTTTTGATTGATTCTGCTCCTTCTCCCAAGGTATTCTCTGAAGATAATGTGAAGCTCGGTGGTTTTGTGATGTGGAAAGGAAAGCTTTCACAATTAATGTTCTTTTCTTTTTCCTTCTGCAGTGCCATTAATAGCACTGAACTCCATTACAATCGTTCTCCTCCTTTTGTTTGGCTGAAGACACCTCGTGAAAATCCTCTGGACATCCAAAGAAGCCAGTTGCTGACCATCACTGCTCTGAGTTTTCTGGGATCCAGCACGGTTTAGCTCTCAATTTGACATCCGACTTAAAATAATAAAGACACTATTTCTATTCATCCTATTTCCCCATGTTCCCTTTCAGTTTCATTAACCAAGATCACGGGGATCAATGCAACAATGCTGCAAATATGTTGGACTGTGACAAGTTCTGTTGCTGCCTGTTCATAGTGTTGATGTCATAGAATATTGCAGTGACTGTTAATATAAGATGCAGTTTTTAAATGTCTCGTTACTCAGGGATGAATTTCCTTCAGTACGCTTTCCAATTTGTTTTTAAATTGAGGAAAACAGCAATGTTTTGGTGTGTTGTTTTTTTTTTTTTTTTTAATTTCAGTTACTACCACAGCACTGTTTCATAGAATATGAACACGTTATCAAGAATTCAATTCACGTTATAGGGGACTGAAGTCCAGTTGTGATATGGAGATAAAACCAGCTGGGTAAAGTTCTTATTCTGGCTCACATTGAAAGTTGAATTTTCCTGGTTTGATTGAGAACAGGATTTTTCTCTTCAAATCTCTTCAGTAGTTCATGCTGATGGTAAAGTCAGCATGTTGAAAATAGGTGCAATTGTTGTGCAAAATCAAAAAAAAAAAAAAAGAAAAAAAACCCACCTGTGTCTGAAGCTGGGCAACTCTGTATTAATTTAGCCTAGCAGGGGATATTAATGATTAGCATTTGTTACTCTTTTGTCAGGAGTCATTAAACTTTTTTGTGTGTTAAACTTCCTCGTGGTGATTGGTGTGGTCGAAGTGGGGAAGCATTTGTATTCTGAGATTCCTGGGAAATGTGGGAGAAGGGGAATACCATGGGAGAGGGGAAATACGCTGCCCTTTTCAAATGCAGTTCTTTGTTAAAAACCCGCAAATTTGCAGCCTCTTCTGTTACCGCTCCTTCCCCCACCCTCCATCTTCATTTGTTAAATTAACATCTTCGAAAGTGAAACTGTGGAAATGACTTTGCAGTTCTGTCGCAGAGAATATTGATAATTGCTTTGGTACAGGTTTCAGTTAGGCTGCTGAGTTAGGTCTGATTGAAGAAGCTCATTCTCATGTACCTTTTCAGAAAAGTTAGAATTCTTGTGTCTGTTTCTTTGCTAAAGTGTTTTTACCTTAATTTTAATGAGGGGATGCCAAGGGAAACCTGGCAATTTCATTATTTTAAAACAGCTTAGTTTATAATCTCTTCTCCTGACGCCTTGACGTTGTATATGAAAATGAATCTGTAATATGTGTAAATGCATTTAATGATCAGTTGCAGTGTTTTGGCAGAGTAAAATATATCCAGGAGGAGAATTTTGTGTTGTTTCCTTTTTTTTTTTTAAGTGATTTTTGTAAATAAATTCTGAATTTCTAAATTAAGCACTCTCTTTCCTAACTCACCCTCCACCTCTGTATAGTGGGATTATCTCAAAACTCATCTTCATCCTGTTGCAGATATCAGAGTTACTGTTCTTACAGGAAATACTTAATTTTTTCCCACATCCCTGTGAGAGACGTATCTCTTCACTGTGAAGCTGTATTTTGGCATCATATCTTTGCTGTAAAGCTGTGTTTTGGTTTATGTAGCAAACCTAATGAGCCATGGCAACGTTGGCCTGAGGCAGAGTAGGTTCTTTAAGTTCTGAAGTAGGTGGATCTGGTTAGAAAGCATTTATTTAATATAATCTTTGTGTAATTCAGAGGTGAAGAGGGTACAGCCTGTCTCAGTTTTTTCATGTATCTGTCTTTCATGGAAAATGGGCAGAATGTATGTGGAACTGATAAAAAGTGGATTGAAATGATAAACCACTTTGTGTTGCTGTAAAATTTTGAGAAAGAAAAGCACTGGTTGTTTCATTGGAGTGCTGAGTGATTTGAAGCACAGCTTGTGTATCATTTAATTTTTATATCTATTGACTGTTAAAATACTAAAATAAAAGCCAATACTAAATATTACAAGAAACAGATTTAAAAATGGGTAAAAGCTGATTTCCCCCATTTCCTTATCCTTCCAGGAGGGGTGAAGTTCCAGTGTGTGGCTCACAGCACGTGGGCAGATCCCTTCCAAGTTGGTGAGGCACGTGCAGGGAGAAGGAGCAGCGGATTCACGCAGCAGGAAATCCTGCATTTGAGGCAAAACTGGGACAAATTTTACCTGAGAGATGCAAGATTTGAAGGGCAGCTGGAGATCGGGTGTCCCAGGTAATGAGCAGGGGAGAGGACAAGGGAGTGCAGAAACAGCAAGGGAATAACCACACTGCTGTCTCCTGGTGTGGCTTCGAGCAGTTCTGGAACAGCTCTGCTGTGACTTAACAACCCCGGCCGGGGCTCGGGTTCTGTAAGGACTGGGAATATGCAAAATGAAGTTTCCCCCTGGCAAAAAGCTCCAAGGCCGCGCTCCAGGGGTCACCTCAAACCATGCAGAGCATCATCACTTGTACCTGGCATGGAAATCACTGAGTGGTTCGGGTGGGAAGGGACCTTAAAATCACCTGGTTCCATCCCCTTGCCAAGACAGGGTCACCTGGACCAGGCGACAGAGGAATAGGCCCAGCTGGGTTTGGAATTTCCCCTCTCAGGGAGACTCCACGACATCCCTGGGCAGCCTGGAATATCAATATAATCTTATCCATGTATGACTATAATAAGTGGATTAGTTATTATGGATATAGTATGGATATAATTATATATATAATATTATATATATGTAATTAGAAGAATTTTTTCCTAATATCCTATCTATCTATCTATCTTAAAATGGTTATATTATGGATATAATATATGTATATATGGATAGAATGTGTTCTATATAATCATAATATCCATCTAAGGATATAATAAGTGGATTAGTTATTATGGATATAACTAAATATGATATCTATAGTTATATAATATATATGCTTAGAAGAATTTCTTCCATATATATGGAATACATAAAACATATAACAACATATATATAAGTATATATAAAGCTTTTATTTATATATAAAACATATAGTATCATATATATGTTGTTATGGTTATATTATAGATATATCCATGTATGGGCATAATAATATATTATTTTATATATTATATGCAGTTGTATATAATCATAATATCCATACATGGGTACATCATCATCATGTTATTATTATTATATGTAATATCCATATAGGATGAAATACACCCATGATATATGGGTTATAAAATATCCATAACATATGGATTACGGATATATTAATAATATATGTATTACGGATGTCCATAGTGTATGGATATGGGTATAATTGTATCCATATAGGACATAATGGATATAATTTATATAATTCATTATCACACCCTTAGATATAATTTATATAATTTACTGTCATATCCACAGACGATATGATTATAAACAGGACATCAGATAAAAAAGATAAGCATTGGATGTAATAATACGGGTGTAATGGCCACAATTGATGTAATAAATGTAATTTGTATCATTTATAAAAACATCCATATTGTGAGGCGGCCCGGGCCCTCAGGGCCCCGCGGGCTGCCCGCCGCGCTGCCTGTCGCGACTGCCAGGCGCCGACCGGCGTCCCCACTCCCTGAGGGCCGAGCTCGGTGTTTATTTACAACAATAATAATCACATTATAATTTTTACACCCCGTGCCGGCGGTAGGCGGCCCTGGCGCTGGGCAGGGCGGCCGCGGCACCCGAGGGCCCCACGGCGCGTCGGGCCGTGCGCGGCGGCGGCGGCGGGAGCAGGTCAGTGCCGCGGGGAGGGCGGGAGCCGCGGCGTTCCCCCCACCCCTCAGAGTGGGCGCGCCCGCCGCCCTCGGCCGCCAACGGGCAGGCGGAACCATCCGCGGCAGGAAGGGGGGAGTCCGTCGCGCTCGGGATTCCCCCGGTGGCGAATGGGCCGTCCCGTCTGCCCGTTGTGTGCTGGCGGGGAGAGGCGGTACCATCTCTTCGGAGGGGGATGCGCAGGGGGGTTGTGTGGAGCGGGAGGGCACTGCGGGGGCACACCTGTGCCGTCAGCGTCCTCCCCACGTATATAATCACGTATATAATTATATAATATACCCCTCTTTCCCTTAGGTCGCGCCTTGTGTCCCTCGTGTCCTTGTCCTAGAGCTGGACTGGGGGGTCCCTTTGTCCTGACCAGGTGAGTTTTCGTTGAGATGAGACTGTGAAAAACGAGGTTCTGGGGTGTTTTAGGACTTCCTTGCCAGGCCATGAGCGTTATCCTTGAAATTAGGCTGTGCTGAAAACTAGCTCTCCAGGTAACTTGCCTACTTTCTGGATGAATACCCTGTGAACAGGAGAACCCATGGAGATCTAGGGTAAAAGATAGTAAAAATAATAGTAATTAAAAATAAAGTCGCCATAAAAATTAATAAATATATTAATAATAGTAATAATAATAATAATAATAATAGAAGAACAACAACAGAAATTATCTATTCTTGAGGTGCCCCCTTTCCCCGTGGAGGTGATGAGGCTCCTTTAGGAGTTCTGTTGCCAGCTTTGTATCATAAGCGTTTAACTTTGGCCCCTTTTAGCAACAGAGAATACTGTAAAATAGGCATTTTTTTTATTTTCTTACTGCAGAGAATCAGCAGGAAAAATGAACATAGGGGCTCAAATTTTTCTCTGTGTGTGTGTGTGTGTCTTGTAGCTGGGACATCAACTTCACATGATCATTGATTAAACTGTCTGCAACGATGAAACTGAGGGAAATATAAGTTTATTGAGGCAGGTTCTAACCTGTGTGTGTTTCAGAAGTACAAACATGTCACATGTTGTCTGTAACCAAAATAAGCTCAACATAAAAATTGTGATCCCTTGCTAGTGGTGACAGATCACACATTCATGGAATGGTTTGGGTCGGAAGGGACCTTAAAATTCATCCAGTTCCACCCCCTGCCATGGGCAGGGACACCTTCCACTATCCCAGGTTGCTCCAAGCCCTGTCCAACCTGGCCCTGGACACTTCCAGGGATCCAGGGACAGCCACAGCTTCTCTGGGCAACCTGTGCCAGGGCTTCATCACCCTCACAGCCAGGAATTTCTTCCCAATATCCCATCTAACCCTGCCCTCTGGCAGTGGGAAGCCATTCCCCCTTGTCCTGTCCCTCCAGGCCCTTGTAAATAGTCTCTCTCCACGTTTCTTGTTGCTTCCCTCCAGGCACTGGAAGGGGCACAGTTTGGTCATGCCGAAGCTCCTCTTCTCCAGGCTGAACAATCCCAGTTCTCCCAGCCTATCCAATAGTTGTTATTGTCTAATGAGCAGGACTGTGTGTGTCTGCATTGGACACTTTCTAAGAAATAGCAGGACTTGTTTTTGGAGCAAAAGGCAGCACTTGCAGCTCACGTGAGGAGAAAGAGCTGTTTCTGAAGGCTGGATTTTATCCAGGTGACTTGCTGTTTCCTTCCACAGTGCCTGTGCCCTTCAAATGCTGGCTCTTATTATGGGCTGAGTCTCTTGTACCTTTTTGTGTGACCCAGAAGCTCGCTGTAAAAAAACCTGCCTGGCTGTCCCATCTGAGAGAACAGGGACCAGCCCTTTGGGGTGCTGGGTATCCATGAGCCCTGAGATCAGGTGGGAGCTGGGCTGGGGGGTCCCTTTGTCCTGACCGGGTGAATTTTTGTGGGCCTGTGACTGTGAAAACTGAAGTTCTGGAGTGGTTTTTTGGGACTTCCTTGCCAGGCCATGAGTGATATCCTTAAAATTAGGCTGTGCTGAAAACTGGCTCTGCAGGCAACGTGCATATTTTCTAGATAAATACCCTTTGAACAGGAGAACCCATGGAGATCTAGGGTAAAAGATAATAAAATAACAGTAAATTGAAAATATAATGAAATAATAAGTATGACTAATAATATTATTAATAATAATTGAAGGTAAAAGATAAAATAATAGTGATATTATATAATGATAATGATAATAATAATAATAGAAGAAGAAATAATTATTGGGGTGTCCTGTTCAGGGCCAGGAGTTGGACTCGATTGTGCTGATGGGTGTAACAATCTGCAAGTTCCACCCTGTCACCACCAAACAGCCTCAAAGTCAGGGCTCCCGGGGCATGGTTTGGGCTGGATCACCCTCGATCTTGCTTACAAAAATAAAAATTAACAATATCCACTTCGGCGGAGCGTTTTGAGCTTTACAACCAGAGCAGTGTGTATTTATTTTCACTTCAGCAGCGCCGTCGGGCGTAGGTGGGACTTGCTGAAATGTGCTTGCTGAGGCCTTGAACCAGCAATACCAGACCTAATGATCCTCTTCCCAGCACTCTTGAGCTGTTCAGAGAATTTTTTTTTTTCCTTTTGACGCGCA